GGAGAACATGGGTTCTCCGACGAGTCAGCTTCTGACGGCGGCTCGGGTAGATTCAGCACTGCCGAATGTCAGGGTTCATCCTCTCAAACACGGCTGGATGCAGTGCGGGCTGTGACTTGACACATACCAACAATGCAGGTGAAAATGGAGAATAGAAACAAAGCGTTGCCGTTCTCGGGCGTGATATTATCGAGAAGTATCCTGGCTGATTTGGACGCGTGGTGATGATGTCGCATCGCTATAGACAGGTAGTGTTCCCTTTCCTCGATTCGAAACTGTGCCTTATGAAGCGCGGTGAGGGCAAACAAGGCGTGCATGAGGTAGTCATGCTTCAAGGCGAGCCGTGGTACCGTCGTCTTCCAAAACCCTCGAAGCATCGATGCTGATGGCAGAGTTGAGCTTGTGTACTCTGTATAGGAGCACAGGAGCTCAAGAGAAGGCATGTCGAGATGTTGGTTGTCGTCGGGCTGCGAGCGAAGTATGGTCGCAGGCGGCTGTGTATGCTGACCAGGCTGGCCATGCTGACGTCGGGTCCGTCCTATCTCGGGAAGATACAAGCATGAGACTCCCATGCGCTCACAGCGCGTACATATGGGCCTAGACTCGTCACACTGCGATTTGGTGAGCTTCGCTATGGAGCTGGCCATGCCGCGCAAGAAGGCACCTACTTTGACCTTGCGCTTCTTGCAAGTCTTGCACCCACTCCTTGATTTGGTATGTTTCTCACGGCGACGCAAGGCAGGCTTCGGAGCCTTAGACTTCTGGCTGACGGGAGATGCGTACGGCTGAGAGTTGGGTGAAGCCAGGCAGGATCTATCATCAGAGCTGCAGGACTCGATGGCTTCGGACATGGCCTCGGTTTCGGACCTCTTGGAGAAGAAATTCGGGTGTCTGATGAGTACGACGAGCCATTGCGAGAGAGCCGTAACGGATAGTCAGGCAGCCAGATCAACGATCTTAAACAGGTCGGCGCCCCCAAAGCGGAGCCTGCGCTCTTCGCGTCCTGATAACACCAGGAGGTTTGTGCATGCTCGAGAGTCCCGAACAGATTTCTAGAGCTTGGCCGTGCGGAGTCAACGTGGGCAGTGCTCATGAGCTCTAGTCATGGTGGTAAAAGGGGTTGCCGGCTACTGTGTCTCTGACAATATACGGTACCTAGTAGGTTCCGCGATTGTGAGGTGCCTTGCTGCGGCTCGTTGTGCGTGTCAAGGAGGAACGAAGAACGAAGAACGAAGAACGAAGCGCAATCGATGGCGAGTCAGGGGAATAAACGAAATACGAGCCTTGTACGAAGTACGAAGCGGGACGGCTGGCTACTAAGGCCCATGACGATCGGCGAGGCGAAGCACCAATGTGGGGCCGTCGTGGAGGGTCTCACCACCGCATAGAAACATCCACCCACCCGTCCACTTGCCAGCTTGTCCACCTCCATCTCCCTAGCTACCTAGCTACCTTGGTAGGCTTTCAGCCCTGGCGCTTTTGAACGCGTCGCAAGAAAGTGACTAAATGGAGATGACTCGGCAGTTTCACTAAGCTTGCCCGCTTCAGGTTGCAAAGGCTTCGGCGACATCCGAGGCCATGACAATCATGCGTTTCCTTTTCATCCTCGAACCCATGGCAGCTAGACCTATCAACCTTGCTCGGGTTTTGCTCGAGATATTAAAGTCCCAATCCTCAAGTCGACTCTTCTGAGACAAGCGAAAGACGCATTCCTACACCAGTACCAACCAAGATTCGTCGGCAAGACCAAGAGACCGTACCTATGGGTAACGAGAAGGACCAGAGTGCGGAGAGACGCCACCACGATGTTCACCACACCTGGGACGATGAAGCGCCGCCGCCCAATGAATATGCTCGTCACAATCAACCTTCTTCTTCGTCAATTCACAGCGACAGCGCCCCTCCTTACGCAACACAACAGGATTATCAATACTCCATCAACTACCCAGTAACTGCCAGTGCCGATGTGCTACCTGCCAATCATGACCTCAGTACACCACATCTAAATTCACAAGAGAACGACTTCCCGACTGCTGCCCAAGGCAATGTTGGAAGTACGTTATACCGCTCGAATTGTCTGTCGATGCGTTGACTGATTATGAGCAGGCGATGCCCGTGTCGAGATCGACTTCAACTCGAAATGGGTGCATAGCCTCTCGGTTCTTGCCGAAAAGACAATCAACAAAGAAGAAAAGGAACGGCGAGAAAGCGTTAATGTGCCGAATGAGAAGATCAACCTGCAAACTTCCTCAGCCTGGGCGACCAAGCTCAACATCGTTATCCACGTAGTCGGCAGCCGCGGTGACGTGCAGCCTTTCGTCGCGTTGGGTTCGGAACTACAGCGCTACGGCCACCGCGTGCGCCTCGCGACCCATGACATCTTTGAAGACTTTGTGCGGAAAGCTGGCATCGAGTTTTACCCTATCGGTGGTGACCCTGCCGAGCTCATGGCGTACATGGTCAAAAACCCCGGTCTCATCCCGAGTATGGAGAGCCTCGCCGCAGGGGAGATCCAGAAAAAGCGATACATGGTGGAGGAGATGCTGGAAAAGTCTTGGGAGTCCTGCATCAAAGCTGACCGGTTGACGGGCGACCCGTTTGTTGCAGACGCCATCATTGCTAACCCGCCTAGCTTTGCACATGTGCACTGCGCGCAGGCCCTCGGGATACCGGTGCACATCATGTTCACCATGCCTTGGAGCAGTACCACGGCCTTTCCCCATCCGCTGGTCAATCTGAAGAACGTGGATGTCAAACCCGGCGTCGCCAACTACGTTTCCTATTCTGTGGTCGAGTGGATGACCTGGCAAGGGTGAGCATACTCCCTTCAAATTCGTCTTTCTTTCATTTAGTCCTTCTTCCTCTGTTGGGATGGTGCTGATCAATCAATAGCCTCGGGGACGTCATCAACAAGTGGCGGAAAAGCATAGACCTGGAAGAGGTCGCCATGTTCGACGGTCCGCTATTGACTGAACGCCTCAAGATCCCCTACACATACTGCTGGTCTCCCGCCCTCGTACCAAAGCCAGTTGACTGGCCTCCCCACATTGGTACAGCCACCCATCGCAAATTCTAGCACTTGTTGGGTGGAAAGCTGACGAGACTGTTAGATGTATGCGGATTCTTTTTCCGAGACGCACCTGCCTACACACCGCCGGATGACCTCGCGCGCTTCCTCAATGCTGGTCCACCGCCGGTGTACATTGGATTCGGCAGCATTGTTCTTGATGATCCTGACAAGATCACAAGAATTGTCTTAGAGGCTGTCGAATCGACAGGCGCTCGTGCTATCATCTCCAAGGGATGGGCTGATCTGGCAGGCTCCGAAAACGAGAACATATACTGGATAGGAGACTGTCCGCATGAGTGGCTCTTTCAGCACGTAGCTGCTGTGGTCCATCATGGTGGTGCCGGCACCACAGCCTGCGGGTTGAAGAATGGCAAGCCCACTACTATTGTGCCTTTCTTTGGAGAGTGAGTTGGCCTTTTCTCGAGACATTAATCAACGGCATTCGAGTTTCCCAGCTGACAGTCTGGACCCATAGCCAACCGTTTTGGGGTCAGATGGTTGCGAAAGCAGGCGCAGGCCCGTTGCCCATTCACCACAAGTCCTTGACGGCCACCAATCTCGCGGAAGCCATCCGGTTCTGTCTCTCGAGCCAAGCAGCGGCCGCTGCGGAATCTATCGCCACGCAAATGCAAGCGGAAGTTGGCGTGCAAGCGGCTGCTCGGTCGTTCCACCAGCAGCTACCCCCTTGAAAAGATCCGATGCGACCTGATACCGACCGAGCCAGCCGTCTGGTCTTACACGAAGACCAAGAGACCTCTGAAGCTTTCCAAGTTGGCGGCGGAAATGATGCTCTCCGACTCTTCCATGAACGTCAAGCATCTTAAACTGTACGTCAGTCTCGCCCGCTTTATTTGCATCAAACTGACACGGGGCCCGCAGATACGAGTCCAACACCCTGCACCTCGACGTGACAAGATGGGATCCAATCAGCGGCGGCGCCTCGGCCGTCATGGGCACCGCCGTCGACATGACTGGTTCGATCACGGGCATGGTCACGAAGCCCGGTGGACGAATACAAGGCGCACCAGTACCGCAAGGAACAGGAGCGCAAGAGACTCGCAGCCGCAAGCGACACGGCCAGCGTCAAGTCGGCAGCAACGGACCGCAGCGCGTCGGCGACAAAGTCCCCCTCCCTCGCGGGCAAGATGGTCGGCGCCTCGGCGAAGAGCATTGGCGGCATCGCACCCACGGCGCTGAAGGGCATGGTGGTCGACATCCCGCTCGCCCTGACGGAGGGATTGAGGGCCGTGCCGGGCCACTACGGAGACAAGCCGCGCGACAACGGCCAGGTTACGGGCTTCGTCTCCGGGGCGGCGGTCGCGGGCAAGACGTTTGCGTGGGGCTTCGCGGACGGGCTCAGCGATCTCGTCGTGCAACCGTACAAAGGCGCGAAAATCGAGGGTGCCTTGGGTGCCGTCAAGGGCGTGGGCAAGGGCATCGTGGGACTGACGACCAAGAGTGGCGCCGGCATGTTTGGGTTATTTGCGTATCCGAGCGCCGGCATCGCCAAAAGTATTCGATCGGCAACGCGCGGGGGCACGAAGAAGGCGGTTGCGAGGGCGAGGCATGAGGAGGGGAAATGGCTGCTGCAGACGAGGGGAGAGCAGGGCCTGGCCGCGGAGGTCGCGGCGGCGTTTAGGCGGTGGTGAACGGCAAGGGCGTGGCTCTCTGGATATGGTGCACGACAAAACCTGGCGCTGGTAGGATCAGCTCTGGTACTAGATGCAGACGTCAAACTTGTCATGTTACTTGAGCTGTCTCGTTAGGTGGTGTTGCATACGGAACCAAGTCTGCACCCTGAGTCACGTAGGATCGTCTACACACAGGTGGGTGACAAGCGGTAGGCATCAAATGCTTCCTTCTTATTGAGTCATGCATTCTTAAAAGAGACAGAGATGCGCTACTTGACTACATACGTGCTCGGGTCTGACCACCATGAGAATCTGTTAGGATATTCTGCACGACGGCCAAGGCCCCAAAGAGCTGATTGTCATGATACTTGCGAGCAACCAACTGCAGATTGATTGGAGCGCCCTCAAAGTCAGACTCATCCCAAAGCCGTCTGGCCTCCCTGCACGCGTTGCTCAAGGGTACATAGCTCGCATCATATCTCTCCCCACGCTGGGTGATGATGGGCGTTGGGAATACGACGCCAGGGTAGTCGACAAAATTGTAAAGCGAGGTGTACGTCCAGGTAAACGCCGTGTCGTGCGCGCACGCTGGGCCGACATAAGCGGGGCCCAGAACCACGTCCACGTCCTGCTCCGCCCAGCTGCGGGCGAATTTGATGCGAAAGTCATCTCTCTCTTTGCGCATGAGGGCCACGTCCTGCGCCGTGAGCATCCCATGGGGCTCGGCGTCTTTCCAGATCCATTCTGAAAGGGGATGGAGAGGCTCGCCCGTCGAAACTATTTCGTCCCTGGCACCTTGCCCGCCATCGGGCCAATAGGTTCTCCGAATCTTGGACCAGGCATCGGCGGCACCGAAGGGACTGAACGATTTGACCTCTATAACGCCGGCGTACTTGGGATCGGAAAGAAGTTTTCGAGCCCAGGCCGTCGCCCGTTTGACCGGTGGCTGCGGTTGTACGAAACCATCATTATCGATGATTCCGATCTTGAGGACCTTAGTCAACTGCGTCCGAAGGCCGGTCCAGGGGATAGGAACAAGTTTTGGGTCGGTGAGGTGCGGTTCTGTCGAGAGAACTACTCGAAGAAACAGGTCCATGTCTCTAAGGCTTCGGCACATCGGTCCTGGAGCGGCTAACACGTTGAGCTCTGCTGGGCACGGATTGGCAAGAAAACGATCTGTAGGCAGCACGTATGATGTGGGTTTGAACCCATATATACCACAGAACGCCGAAGGCCCTCTTATGCTGCCTCCTATGTCGGTGCCCACACCGAGAACTGAGCCCTTCATGGCGATGAGCGCGGCCTCCCCGCCAGTGGAGCCGCCAGCGGACAGGCGAGTGTTGTAAGGGTTCAGGACACGGCCCCACAGCGAATCGCTTTCCAAATGCATGATGGCCTGTGGCTGGTTGGTCTTGCAGTAGAAGACAGCTCCCATGCTGCGCAGGATGGCGGTCATCTGGCAGTCCTCGCTGTCGATGGCGATGCTGCCGAGGCACCCGGCGGAAGAGGGCTTCCCGGCGATGGGGATATGTTCTTTGATGCTGACGGGTACGCCGTGCAGGGGACCAACAGTCTGACCAGTGGCGTTGAGATGTGCGTCGAGGTGGGCAGCCTGCTCGATGGCTTCTGCCATGAACCACTGGGTCAGGCAGCAAGTCAGCTGGTGGGCGATGATGGCCCGCTTGGAGAACGCTGTAGCTACGCTGACGGCGGTGAATTTGCGGGAAGCAATCGCTGCAGCGAGACCAACCGCATCGTAGTTCTCAGTGATGGCGAGCTCTAGAGGCGACAGGATGCCGCAGATGAGAGGAATGTTGGAAACGTCAGCTGGGGCATTGTCGATGATATCCTTGGAAAGGAAGTATGCATGAGGAACCTTTTCGCTGAAGGCTTGAAGGATACCCGCCCGCTTTGTTTCGAAGACGTCGGTTCCCCGAGGAACCGGCTTGACTTGTAGAACACAGAATAGTTTCGAGTCCATTGTTGGTTGATGGGCATGTGGAAGACAGTTCAGGGAGGAAAACGGATGCTGGTCGTTCAACCTCGAGTTGGTGTATAGCTGGCCGGGAACTCAGTTGGGGTGCGTGCGATACTGGACCAAGAGCAGACAAAGTCAAAAGGAGGTGGCAGCGTGCTTGATGACATGAATGCAGGTGCCCTCGGAAAATCGGCTGCTTCCAACCCCTCACAAGGTGCAACTGTCTCGGAACTCCAGAATTCCACGGCAGGGCATGGATATCATGAGCTCAGCGAGTACGCGGATTGCTGCTTGTCGACGCTTATTCTGGGCGCAAATGCCGCTCATTGGATACCACATCGCCGTGTCGACATGGACCAGCCGCTGGAAGGGCTGATATAGTGCTTGATTGAGCATCAGGTGAGGAGAAGCGATGGTGTGGACGGACGTTTGATTGCATGAGTGATAGATAGGTATCGAGAGGAAAGGCGAAGGGAGGGAGTCTGGCTGCCAAGCTGATAAGTTGCAGCCAATCAAGAATAATTGCGCGACCCACTTGAACAATGGCAGCCACCACCCGCATGGGTGACGAAGAAGGCACTATCGAGACCTGACACGGTACCTGTCAGATAAACATATCTCCAAGTCCATGGGTTGATTTCGGATCAATGGAGATATGAACTACTCTTGGAGACCCCGGAATCGCTTCCGAGCAGCTGGTCCAACCCATGAATCTTTCAGATTGTGGCTGGCAAGGCTTGTTGTGACTGACCTACGAGTTGCTAATCAGCATCGCACCTTGCCCAAACCGCCCAAGTCGGGCACCTAGCCCCAGATCACCAGACAGCGGACGGGACTTTGCATACCCTGTACCACGAGAACTTTAAAGAGTCCAACGAAGTCCTCGCCAGACGCACAGGTTGCTTCTCAATGTCTCTTCTGGGTTCTCCAAGATCCCTCTGATAATCCATTCTATGCCCATCATTCACCATGGCTGTCAACGAGAACCACGAAGCCATGGCTCATACAGAAAGCGTACCTGGCACCGTGCACCTCGTGGATACGGATCACAACATCGGAAGTCGCCATACCAATGGCGGTGACATTGTGTTGGACCCTGTCCCTTCCAGCGACCCCAGCGACCCTTTGAACTGGTCCCGTCGTCGGAAGCTCCTTGCTGTGGTGTGTCAGAACTTGTAAGTCACTGCACCGGATACATGGATGCAACAAGCCATAATGACCGCTGGTGCTATTCAGATATACTTGGTTTTGTGGCATTGCAGTCTCCACCGTCTATTCGGTCCTTGTCCCGCTGTCGCAGGCCTCAGGCGTGTCCATTGCCACGCTCAACGAAGGCACAGGGTACATGTTCCTACTCCTGGGCTGGAGTCTTCTCTTTTGGCAGCCCTTTTCCCTTCGATACGGCAAACGACCGGTCTACCTTATATCCATCCTTGGAGCCATTGTGCGTCATCTACTCTTCCTTCCGCTTTGCCGTGGTTGCTTGGTGGCTAACAATGGCTAGGGTACAAGCATTTGGAGGTGAATATTCTTCGGACGCTGAACACCTGGCAGAATTGATCTAATTGTTTCCAGTGCATACGTCACAAGCAACGGCCAATGGCTGGCCAAATGCATCCTCCAGGGTTTTTTCATCGCCCCAATCGAGGCTCTCCCAGAAATTTCCGTCACCGACATAGTAAGCTGCCTGCACATTCCTGAATCTGTCTACCGAGACAAGCCATGGGAGTAGGACACCTCTAACCTCGGGTGCTAGACTTTCACCCACGAGCGAGGCACTTACATGGGCATTTATGCCTTCACACTCGCGGGTAGCAATTATTTTGCGCCAGTCATTTGTGGCTTTATCGCCCAATATCAAGGATGGCAATGGGTGTTTTACTGGCCTGCCATCTTCCTCGGCTTTGTCTTTATCTTCCTTTTCCTCTTCATGGAAGAGACAAACTACAACAGAAAATCCACAGGCGCCAACAGAAAGATGCCCATTGCGGTGGCTGACTTCTTTATAGACGAGAAGAACGCTTCTTCCGCTGCAGGCCCTTCTACAGCGTCTGAAACGGGGGAAACATTCCCTGCACCGAAGACTTTCGTCCAGAAAATGTCACTGTGGCAGCCGTCTCCGGGCCAGAGCATGTTGAGTCGAGCGTTGCGCTCTCTGAGCTACCTCTCGTGGCCTGTCATCTTTTATGCCGGATTCTCCTACGGGTCGTATCTCATCTGGTTCAATGTGCTCAACGCCACGTCTTCAATCATTCTGTCTGGTCCTCCGTATAACTTTCCTCCTTCCATGGTAGGACTTAGCTATATCTCCTGCTTTGTGGGCGTCATTCTGGGATCAATCTTCTCTGGTCGACTAAGCGACTGGCTGACTATTAAGCTGGCCCGTCAGAACAACGGAATTATGGAGTCCGAGTATCGGCTTTGGCCATTTTCTCTTTGCGTGGTCGTGGTCCCCGGCGGTCTCATACTCTGGGGTGTTGGCGCTGCCCATGGCATTCACTGGTTTGGTTTGATCTTTGCCATGGGTTGCTTGGCCTTCGCGACTACGGTCGGCGTGACTCTGAGTGTGAACTATCTGATCGATAGCTATCACGATATCAGCGGAGATGCGATTGTGACTATCATCTTGGTCCGCAACACCATGTCCTTTGCCGTCAGCTACGGGTCAGTTTCTCTTTCCCTTGGCTAAGCAGAGTTTGTTTCAGGGAGAGCCGAAAGCAACTGACAAAACATACAGAATCACACCCTGGTTGATGAACCTTGGTTATCAGAATTGTTTTATCTCTGCTGCTTTCATCGGCATGGCCACTTCGTCGGTTTTCTTCGTCATGATCAAGTATGGTAAGAAATTACGAATTCGCAGCGCCAGCAAGTATCACAGGCTTGTCAATGCCGCAGAGTCGAAATGGTAGGGGCGTATACTGCACATCTCGTTGTCTGATGACGATTTGTTGCGGGGAGTTACTACTGTGGGCGAGGGATAACGTTCGTCGGAGGTACTCAGAAAGTGTGTAAGAAGGCGACCGCAACTGAGGATATTCAAAAGAGGTGTCAACTACCTCGGGGCAGTATTGTCATCTTGATCATGGCTCGGTCTTTGTTGGCATAAGTTCTGTAGCTTTTGCAGTCTTGTTCCGAGTTTCATGTCTGGCATCAGGCGTACCTTTTCGCTCTTATCATCGACTTCCCTATAGTGATGCTGCTACCTACCAACCTTTCCTATTCCAGGTAGTCAGGCCCGCCACAAGAGATAGCCTAGCGTAGTATAGAATACCACTAAAATAGCCAAGCTATCGTGGGGAAGCGGGGAAACTGGACCATGCCGCTCTCACACTCGAGTCAGGAGCTCTAGTCACCCAACTTACCATCCCCAATCTCCCCTTATACCACGGCTCATCTGTCTCACGTCGCATCGCACATCGAGCCTCGCATGATTTGCCAACAACATGAGAGGCGGAAGTAAGGCGAGGCTACGGACCAAGACCGGTTGCCTCACTTGTATGTCCATGCGTACAATTTGCCTCGCCTCTTGAACGATCGCTGACTTCATACTGTTTCGACAGGCCGCCGGCGACGCAAGAAGTGCAATGAACAAGTTCCCGTCTGTAGCGAATGCAGAGATTGCAGTCGCCAATGTCACTGGCCTGTCTCGGCAGACTTGGTCGATCGTCGATTTGCCTCTCACGAGAACTCTCGGCATCATGCGACCACTGAAGAGCGGGCGAAGCCTCTTTCTCTCCTCATTACAGAGCACATTCAGCGATATCATCATTTGAAGACGACGACAATTCCGCGCCAACCGAGCTGCCGCCGCCTGGACAAGCCCTCATTCACATGTCTCACCTGTTGGCCGAGTCTCGCGCATCTCACCTGACCGTATCCCGGGAGATGCCTGCTGTTCTGTCCCGCCACTTTGTCGAAAAATGCTTCACCTTGCTTCTCCTACGTACTTGTCATCCAGGTTTCTCTCAAGACTGGCTGGGCGAGATCAAAGACCTCATGGTCTCCCAAGACTGTCTATATTACTCGGTGCTGGCCTATGCTGCCTCACACGTCTTCCTGATGGACACGTCAACACAGATCCAGGGCCTCGCCCTGACTTATTATACCAAGGCGACGAGAGCGATGTCATGTCTGCTTGAGAGCGAGGCTCATCCTGAGCTTCACAATGGGCTGCTCATGTCCGTTATGCTGCTGTATTTACATGGTGTAAGGGGAGCCTCCACGTGTCGTCGTCAGTCTGGCAAAAGCCAATGATCTGTACACAGACGACCGCCAAGAAGAAGGGCTAACCCGTTTGATAGTGCATGGGCATTGGAACGTATACCGATATACCGATGCACGTCAACGCAGCGATTCGCATCATCAAGACGAGACTCCTCGATCGCCACAACACAGTCCATCGTCTCTTTGACAGACTCGCGGTCGAGAGCGTTTTGTACCAGATTTTCCTTGCAACAACAGGTCTGTGGACGCAGGAGGCAGAGGCCGAACAAAAGTTCGACGCCGTGTTTTGGTCCAGAGCCGAGGATTTCTTAGACCGGTCCACCATCTTCCCTGGACAACCGATCAGCCTCAACAGCCCAGTTCTGGGCGTTCCAATATCGCTGTTCAGGCTGTCTTTTATGCTACGAAAGCAGTACGGAAGCGGGTTGGCTCTCGACTCGGAGATGCTCAGCCGAATCAGGGACGAGGTGGCCGAGTGCGAGGCCCTGCTTCTCTGCGTTCGAATCGCCGAATCGTCGACTTGCGAGGAAGGTTCTACGGAGGATATGTACTACAAAGACGCTAGCTGCCTGTTTGGCATTATCATCTCGCTCCTCTTCGAGCAGCTCTGCCGACCTCATATCGGAGCTGGGCCGCTGCTACCGGAGCCGAGTGAGTCATGGCAGGTGGACAAGGCGATGCGGATCCTGCGACGGCACGAACACGCAGAGGGCTGGAGCAGGTGCTTCATCGGGAACTGGCCGGTGTACACCCTCGGCCTCTTCATGAAGTCGCCCAATGACCAAGAGGTCATTCGGAATGACCTTCAGCAGAGATGGAGCCTGACGGGGTTTTCGCAGGTGTGTCGATTCCAAGGGGATCTCGAACAGATCTGGACGTTGCGGCGGAGCTCCGTCAATGAACCATCACTTCTTTGAGTCTTTGCTGGTCGCTTAGAGTACATAAGCCTCACTTGATACAGGAGCTCTAAGAATTGATGAAAGTGGAGTTCACTGGATTCGTGATGTGGGGAGCTCACATGTGTCCCACCCATGTAGAAGCACTTTGTTGCTTCCTGGTGTTCATACTAGCATGTCATCAAATCCATCGACCGGTGAGATACACGCAAAGTGCACGCATGGAGTTCAAGACTATGGACTTGAAGCAAATCAGGTCGCATGTCGTTGTCAAGGGCATGCTAACATGAACAGCTATGAATTTACGTGCCCCAGTAAAGTCAGCATATTGATGAATCAGCACTGAGTCTTCCCAATATTGAGCTAAACATTGCGTCCTAGCGAGAATCATGTTTCGAAAAGTGGCATGAGTACCAACGAAGCAAAGACGTCGAATCCAACTATTTGACCGACCGTGCGCGCTCCTGGGACCATCAAACTCACGCCGCTACTCGGGCTTCTGGCCATACGTGGCAGACCTATATCAGTTAGTATTTGCCACAGAAAAAAAGATCATTCGAGGGGTGGGCGCGACATACGCCACATAGTACGCATGGTTGGAACGCTTCTTGAGCTCGCTGCGCACCGAGGCGATGTACGTCTGAGCCTGGACAATGTCCCATTCGTGAACGTTGGTGAGGATATAGAGCATGAAGCCCTCAAGTCCCTGCTCGGTGGCGACGAGGTTGTACTTGCCGACCTCCTTCAGCTTAGGGTCGGCGGGCCAGGCGCCCATGGGCAGCTTGAGGCGCAGTTCGTCCACGTTCTTGAAGCCGGCGTCCTTCATCCAACCGTGGTTGACCTTATCCATGATGACGTTGAACGTGCGACCGAGCTTCTCGCCGGCCTTGATAAAGAAACCGCCGTAGTCGTTCCAAGCCGAGGTGGGGCTCAGGGAGCCGTCGTCGCTGTAGATGTGCGGGTCGTAGTCCATGTGCTCGAACCAGCCGCCGGGCTTCAGGCAGCGGTAGACCTCGCTGTAAAGGAAGGGCCAGTCTTTGATGGCACCCATGAGGAGACGCATGTGGATGTAGTCAAAGTGGTTGTCGGGGAAGGTCCAGGGCAGCTGAGCGTCGTCGAGCTCGAAGCGGCAGTTGGAGGGTACCCACGCGGGCTGAATGGGCGACAGGTCTGTTCCGATGACCTCAGCGCTGGGATATTGGTCCGCAAAGTCACTAAGAGCACAGGATCAGCTTGTCAGAACACTAGAAATACCTAGCCAGCTGGTCGAAAGGGCACTGTAGGGGAAATCATACATGGCCCAGATACCAGTTCCCGTACCGACGTCGAGGACTCTCTGCGGCGAGCCCGAAATGGGAGCAACGTGAAGCCGGTTGTCCATAGCCATCAGCAGCATCTCATGACTGGAAACAACTGTCAGCACGACCGGCAAGGGGGTATTCACTGAGTGAGAGGGGCAAAAGAGTCTCACTTGATGTCAAGATGCTCATTCTGCTTATCGTCGTTGGGACCCCTTCATGACTGGTGTTAGGTGCGACAGTTGGAGGCAATTACGACAGGTTTCGACGCACCAGTACTCGGTGTCGGACTTGAAGTTGTGAAAGGTTCGACCATGGATTTTGCGATACTCCAGGACGCTGTCTGTGACCGAGGCGGTGGAGCTCAGGCTATGATGGTTGAAAGGTCAGACTGAACGATTCAAGTCTCAAGCGACAAATGAGGTGGAGACGCACCCATCCTCGAACCCATCATCAGTCTGATCGTCGTGCTCGTGGGTGGCATCCTGGGGAGAGCTGGTGAGCAAACAGTATCCGGGTTGGTGGCGGCGGTGCTGCATACCACTTGGATGTTGGCAACTTGGGCCGGGGCTTGAGCTGGAGGGGGCGAGCTGGTCGGAGGCGACGCCGCAGGTGAGTCAGCTGCGGCAGCCGTTGCCGGAACCGGAGCCTCAGCAGAAGAAGCCATTATCGCTGTTGTTTCCTATAAGTGAAAGGGGACGAGGCACGGGGCTTGGCAAGCGGATTCTCGATGATCGAAAGTGGACTGAGAGCCAGATAAAGCCTGGGGAGTCTGAAGCGGGGATTCCCATGAGCACACGTCGCGCCAAGATTGAGTATGAGGGGATTTCAACCCGGATAAACATCCCTGTAGCCCCGGTCGATCTAGCACCACCTATTCGCGCTCCCGAGGCATCGTCGCTTTCTGTAACGACTACTTGGGCAACTTGTCTATCATCTCCAGGCAACATCAGCTGGGCAGCTGAAGTGAACGAATAAGACCAAACACTGCACGTACTCACAATTTCGAATGGCAGGATCATGCGACACGAAGTTTTGATGGTGAGAAAGCCGTAGCCGCAAGTACCGTTCGCACTATACCATGTTCCCCATGACTAGGTCCATACGCACTGATCTAACAGAAAAGCGAAATAACGTACACGTGCTCATCCTGGGGCACACGACGAGGAGAAATCTCGACTTCGACATGCAATGCTGATTGAAAACGCGATGTTACGGCTGGTCGGGATAGGTTCTGATGATGAATTACGATACGTCAATCTATAAATTGAATTGCTCTTCCAAATTCCGTGCCTGCAGCATAGCTCTACGACTGCTTTGCAACTGCCTGGCCCAGGTTCCCACGAATGTTGTCATACTGAGACACGGGGTACCACACCAAGTTCTGGGACTTCTCCAGCCCAATCTTCTTGGCGACGTAAGACACGATGCTCTCGTCGCCCGTCTTGTCACCCGAAGCCTCCCAGTACATGGCACCTCCGAGGCCTCGGAACTGGAGGTAGTCTGTCTTGACGCCGGCGCTCTTGATATCATCAAAAGAATAAAGCTGCCTCGTCTTGCTGTCATAGCTGTACGTTCCCTGAGCGATGGGATCAAACTCAACCTTAGCGCCGGGGAGGGGAAGGTATTTGTACGTCAAGGTGCCCTGGTTTCCGAGCGAGTCGACGGGGACGCCGTGGTACGGCTTTCCCATACCATCGGTGTTGTTGAAGCCACGGCCGTACAGTGGGATGCCGAGGTTGAACTTGCCGGGGGCGACACCGCCCTTGATGTAGTCATCAAGGGCCTTGTTGATGCTGAACTTTGTCGAGGTAGGGTTGAAAGGGTTGGGGAAGACGTTGGAGGCATGGCCGGTGGTGTTGTCCCAGCTACCAGCAAAGTCATAAGCCATCAGCGACCAGTAGTCGAGGTTCTTGTCCATGGCCGCAAAGTCAAACGCCCCATAATTCTGAGGGCCAGCGGGAGCGGCAAAGGTAAGAAGGAAGTGATACCCGTTGGCGTGCTTGGCCGAGTATTCGTCGAGCGCCTGGCGAAGCTCCTGGAAAAGAATGACACACTGCTTATTGAGTGCCGGGGTGTTGGGGTATTCCCAGTCAACGTCGATGCCGTCCATGCCCCAATCCGTGATCAGCTTGACAGCGGAGGCGACGAATTGGGCACGTTTCTTGTCGTCAGCAACGATAGGAGGAAACTTTGGCGACCAAGTCCAGCCACCGATGGATAGAAGAACCTTGAGGCCGCGGTTCTCAATCTTCTTTTGGTAGATTTGCTTGACAAGGCCGTAGGCGTTGTTACCTGGCTCGGTGGTGTTGTCACCGGGGAAGCCCTTTTGAGTGTCGGCCCAAGGATCGGCGGAGAACCTGTTTTGTTTAGCGAATGTCAAACACGCTAGAGCTCAGAATGCTGCAACTCACACAGTACCATCGTCCTGGATGTTAGCAAAAGCGTAGTTGATGTGAGTAATTTTGTCCGCAGGAATCTGGTCCGGCTGGTAGTTGGCGCCGTAGATACCCCAGTTGGTGACATAGAGAACGTTGCGGTGACCTTGGCTCGCCGGATCACCGAAACCTTTGCCAAACCCGTTTCCGGAACCACTGCCGGGATTGTTGCCAAAACCGCCGCCGGGAGTGCGGCCGGAGCCGCTGCCGGAGCCGCTGCCGGAGCCGCTGCCGGAGCCGCTGCCGGAGCCGCTGCCAGGAGTGCGGCCGGAGCCCGCTGCCAGGAGTGCGGCCGGAGCCGCTGCCAGGAGTGCTGCCTGAGCCGCTACCGGGAGTGCGGCGGAACTGTCGCTCAGACCTTTGCCGCCAAAGCTTTGTCACGGTTGCTCCAGGGGTGTTGCCAGGACCGTTCCAAGTTTTGCTACCAACACTGCCGGGACCGTTCCAAGTTTTGCTACCAACACTGCCGGGACCGTTCCAGGGATTGTTGCCGTTCCCGCTGCTTGGCCTATTGCCGCCGCTTGAGACACGGCCCTTCCCATAGCCGTTGGTTCGGTAACCGTTGCTGTACTGGTTGTCGGAATTGCTGCCATAACCGGTGCCGGACTTGCCAGCAGGATTCACAATGTAGGTGTCTGTGGGGTACTTGCTTTGACCGTTGTTTAAGCCGTTGTTCAAGCCGCTCTTGCTGCCCTGATCGTTGTTATTGCTGCTGCTATCGTCGTCACAGTCGTTGCTGTTGTTATCATTGCTGCTACTGCTGCTGCTGCTGCTGCTACTGCTGCTGCTACCGTAGTGACTGCTGTCGCTGTGACTATCGCTGTGGCTGTTGTTGCGACTACCATAGCTGTAGCTGTAGCTGTAACTGGAACTAGAGGGAGATCTGCTTCCGGCAGTCGGCACGGCCAGAGCCGGCGTCACGGCAAGGGCCGAAAGAAGAACACTGAACTTCATTGTTGCAAAGGAACGTTAAGAAGTAGGAAGTGACGTAAGAAATGGTGAATGATAGGTAAGGGTAAGGGAAATGAAGGACTGACGGGGGTGGGGAACAAATGAGTGTCCGGTGCAATAGCCTAGTTCAGACAGGACGAAACTGTCATGACCATCATGGAGGTAGAAGCCATGCCATGAGTTGAGGATAACACCAAGCCTTTTATCATCAAGTCCAAGTCATCCAGAGGCACCATGTCTCATTTCTAGGGAGTTGGTTCAAATGCCAGTGAAGCGGGCAGACGTACCGGCCCCCGGTCGCCTTCGGCCTCCGGCACAGACGGCGAGTCAGCGCCGTCACGATATTCAGTGCATGGTCTTTCTAAGGTTTTGCTGGCGTCGATTCACAAGAAATGAGGTCTTAATAGGGTGATGCTATTCGTCTGCTCGCGTTGGAATCTGCTGATCAGTAATAAGAGTGACGTCGAGGCAGAATTAGATGACGAACCGCCGCCTCGCGTTGGAGTGCAGTTCAAGTCATGGAGTAGCAGCAGCGTGATACGCGGTGTAGTGAGGACGAGACCCGTTCACAAGTCTTCAGCATCACACTCTTTTCCGCAGAGTACATCAAGCGCAAACAATCGCCACGAAGGCTACGGCACACATCCCGCGTGCCAAGACGTCGTCGTCGATTGAAAGCTGCCAAACCCTCTTGGCGTCCCCAGATTATTGATTGAGAACAGTGGCGTAGAAGCCGTTCACGCTGGCCAAAAAGTCGAGCAGCATGGCGCCGTCCAAGGGCGCTTCCAAAAGCAGATCGGATCGACATGATGGTACGCTGATTCCATGACCCATGTCCCATGTCCCAAGCAAGGGCCATCCTCCTCTTCAATCTTCAAATCGCCCGGAGGTCCCGGTTAAAGCCCCTGAAGTCGGTATTTGAGTTCGGTTCCTGCTTTGATTCAGGGGTTCGTATCCATCAAGGTTTACCTTACTTCCTTAGCTCGGGTTCCCGTGTGCCCTGGCATGAAAAGGAGACCATCGCGCCACTTGAGCCAATTTGGGCCAACAGGGAGGGCTGGATACTATCGGCCGGACAGAGTGGGCAGGTCAGGACGCGACGGGACCAACCCCCTCGAGGAACTCGCGACTTGAAAGGCTGTAGGAAGAAACGTGTCACTCTCTGTCTTTGGTTTTCATGCCGTCTGGCAGCCCTTTGATGGAGCCACGAGTCTGGCCTCGTGGCAGGTAGCGTGTGCGTGGCCAATAACCCATACTAGGCCCGTCCTTGCTTAGGTAGTCAACCCTAACCCCAACCCTGAAAATCGACATTGCACTCAGGGGCTTGGGCTTGCCATCACCTCATCTACCCTGACTGTTCTTTCGCTGCATCTTTGAATTAGGCTCCGATTTGTTTGACTGCATGCAAGTCACGGAAATGCAGTTCTAAGCATATCTGCCGTCCTGCGGGCTGCACCCGCTACCCGCCTCTGAACAGGCCAACTTCGTGAAACGTTGCACAGGACCCCGACAAGCCTGGCGGGGGCATCTTCGCTTCTGCGAAAACCTTGATCGTGAGTCGCATTTCAAGGCCCTTAATCCATCATTTATCACATGCCCATGACCGCCAGCATAAGCGACAACTTGTGGGTCTCGGCAGATGTAGTATTAGTCGTCCAACAAAGAGGTATGAGAATGGTTGTATGGAATTGGCAGGAATTCCCCTAGCAAACAACGCCACTGGAAGTATCCCTAAATAGACCCTCCCGCATGCAAACAGCCGCAGTTCCTTGCATGGGAAAGGCTGGCAGAACCCCGTCCCGGCCAGTCGTGGTTGATTGCTTGCAATACCGCCAAAGCCGCGCGGCACGCCTCGCCGCGGAATGGCATGACTCCGAGAATCCTTAAGCTGATGCCTAGTTCAATCGCCCGGCTGTCTACATGTAAGCATCGATCACCAAATCCTCCCAGTCTGGTGCTGAATGCTCCGCTCGTTCGCCATGGTTGGGTGTCACGTGTTGTCCCTCAATACCGAGGCTGCAGCCCGATGCCCGACGCAAAACTCGCAATCCTGCCCTTTTGTCCCAAAATCTCCGCCGGATGGACAAAGTTGAACAGCACCATGGTGATGAACATCAGCAGCGCGTCAAAAATGTACAGGTACACCTCGTGGCTGAGCAGGTACCCGTCGAAGCCCTGAAGATACTCGACGGCGCGAAACAGCGAGCGCACCATGATGAGCATGCCGGCGGCGTAGAGAATCTTGAGGTGCTTTTCCCAGGGGATGCCGATGCGTGAGCGGGCCGTCGGGGCGCGACGGACTCTGACGTGGAAGTTGACGGCGACGACGAGGAAGATGCCAAAGAAGATGAGCTGGACGAAGAGGCCGACAATGATGATGTTTGCGCCCGTCTTCAGAGCCGCAAGGGTACCAGATGCTTGGTAGCCGCCACCTAGTGATCAAGTCAGACCAAGGGTAGGGGAAAGGGGCTACAAAGAAGGATTCGAGACTTACCTCCGCCTTGGAGGAAGAAGGAGAGCACGTCGCCGATAACAAACAGCTTGGTCATCCACTTGCGGGGAATAAGAGAATGACCCTCGCCGTCTATGAGGGTGACGATTCTCCCGAGCTCCATGTAAATGGTCGCGGCAAAAAGGGCGGGAGCGACGAGCAACAGGATGGCTTGGAGAATGTATGGCGTCAAAGTCCAGTCAGGGGTCTCCTTGCCCGAGGCAAATCGCCCACCGTACCCGACCATCTCGACTGTGAACTTGTTATTGACTGCATCCTGTCTGAAAACGGGTTCGTTGGGAATTTTGGGGACGTACATATGCCGCCGGCGATGATGGGTATCATGATCCATATGCGGGTGCGTACCAGCTGCCAACAGTGCCAAAGAGTGGTAACCAAGAATGCCAGCAGAAATATAATAGCACCGACTTCTGAAGGGTGGTAGTGATATAGCTTGAAGATTTGCTCTTCCGCGGGAGCTGTGGAGTTGGCCGAAGAGGCATCAGATACTTCGGCATTGGCTGCGAAGCGAGCAAAGAGATCCATGATGAGGTACGCCTGGATTTCGCACAAAGAAAATATGAGGGTATGAGGATACAAAAGAGAGGGGCGATTCGTTATGTGTATAGTTCGTAATGATCAAGGAAAGTAGAAAGAATGAATGAAAAGTGAGATTTGGAGGCGATGACCGGTTGAAGTATGTCGAAGGGCTCTGGAACAGACTGAGATTGAAGAGAAAGAAGGATTGTAGTAAAATGAAATGGACAAGATACCTGCTAGTCAGTGGTTCGAGAGCATCGGGGTGCAGTTTTATGGGTGCTACGAAGTCTCGGACCCGAGCCCCTTTGCAGAAAAGGAGAAGCAGCTGGCTCCCGAGGAGCACGCGGTGCCCCTGCCGATCTACCCCATAGAAAAAGAGGGAGAATTCGAAAGTCGAATAGAGCACGATCTTGCATAACGCCGACTACCTGTGGATGCCTCAAGTCATCGGATACTTGGCAAGTGACGCGAAAGCTTGGACTGGGTCTGACAAGTCAGACCTCGTCTTTCTCGTCGTGGTACATCTTATCTATACAATGACAGCTGTTGTTGGCCCTCGCAAGTCAAAGCACAAATCCCAACTGTTGCGACGAGGCCGGGCTTCCCTTCCTCGGGCGTGCTTGAGTGTGGCCATGCTCGTTGCAGTTATTACGCAGGCCCCAATCTTGCCTCAGGGTCTGCTTTGGCGCATACCTAGCTGCTGTGCTCGTTTACGAAAGTTTATCTCGCGTTTTTACGCTCTCGCCAAGCGCTGGCTCGGACCGCCTCGCATTCCGCAGCGGCTATGTTCGGGGATTTTTACTGCGCTGTGCGAGCAATGGTCTGGATTGAGCAGACCTCAGGCGAGGCTGTGTACTCCTGCTCACCTGGTTCCAGTGAGGAGAGCTACAGTTTGTGAGCAGGTCATGGTGGGAGGCTCTTCAGAGCCGACGAGATCAGATTCTGCCTTCCTCATGACGCGTCCCATCAACTCTCTCATCATGCACCGCCATGACGGTCCTGCAGTGAGACACTTACCCGGTAGAGGCCATCTTGTCATGAGGCGGAGCAAGGGCGTCAAGGCCGGAAAGGGGCAACGCCCAAACACGCATACGACGAGAAGAAACAAGCAATGCACTGCAAGACGATAGCAACAAATCTGGATTCCAGATTCTGGAATACAGAATGGCTTCGAGGTCCACTTCGGCTCCTCAGGTCAACCTCCATCAGGAAAGGCCCGGCCGAGGTTAAGTGGATCAGGACCCTGTGAATCCAGATCGGGTATCGCACAGCGCTCGTACTTCGTATACACGCCGATTCGGTACGAAGGTGCCGCCGCGAACGGGCGAGCGAAGCGACCAACTGACTTGTCTGCTCGTATATGGCTCGCAAGACGAGGCAAAGCCGCCCAACGGCATTGCCGACCAACGGGGACATAAAAATGGCATTTTCCGGAGATAAGCGTTGTGAATGGCCTTGCTTGGAGACATATACTCGCGCAGGCGCCCACACGTTTCGATGCGAAACATGTG